TAATATGGGTACCCTTCCTTGAAAGTCAACTCTACTAGTGTTGTGCGGCCATGATTCTCCGCGTTTCTTTTGGACGCATCGGCTCACTCACGTCAGTCAGTTCGCGGCGTCTCGCATCAGACTTCCGCCATTGGTAAGGGACCAAACAGAGTCTGTGATCACGGATGCCGCCACTAGGCATCTAGTGGACTTGGCGCATAGGACTCGCTGCTGCCCACATCTCCAATTCTCGCCCATCCACGCGAGGAATCGTGGTAAGCAATAATTGACTATCCCCTTGAACCCGATTAACAGTCGCCTATCGGGTATGGAACCCGACGTGTTTCTCACCGCGGTGATGGGGGCTGTATTTTCAGTGCTTGAGTTCGTGGACGGAGCTGCGAAGGGGGTTGGGCGGCCCTTGTGTGCTCAGCGGGGATCGGAGGGAGCCGGGTGTATATAATGTGCTTGATGTGGGGGGTGGGAGCCCTTCCACCCAGCAAAGGCCAATATGGTATAGAGCACTTCATACCATGGGAGTAGCAATAATACAGGAGTTGTCACAAATACCCGAGGTGGGGTTTGGGGAATAGCGACGGCGTTTGGGGGGGTCGCACTTTCTACTTATTTTCGTTGACAAGAATTTACATTATCATAACGGGCTATACCCCAGGTTCTGGTTCGATCCGGGTTGTGTTCACACAATCTACAAGGCGGAGCGACATGGAAGCACTATCATCACCCAGTGGGGGGTTAATTGCGCAGTGTGCAGTTGCACTTCATTTTGTTGTAATATGACATCCGAATATGCTTCGGTAGTGTCATTGATATCGACAGTATTTCTGTCATAGTTACCGTTATGAGTTCATCGGTAGATGAACTCATTACATGGTTGACAACGACAGAGTTTCCTCGGAAGCTCTATCGCAAGACTTGTTTAATTGTGCCTCGCTCGCTTTTTCCTGAATTATGCAATGGTATTGTCGTTGACTTTTCCTTTTTTCCTACATATTGCATATGTCATATACAGTCTTATTCCGCCTTCCTGTAGCATGAATAGGAGCCTGTAGCCCCTCAGCATAGCATGAAATCAAGCAAGAAATACAACTTCAATCAAGAATTACAACATATTTCTTTCTTTTGACGCCGAGTGATATGCCGTGATCGCAAACCATTCCTGCCTGCCCAGCTCATTGACATGCTTAATACGAATCTACCCCCCGGAGCCGCAATACATCAGGCCAGAGCCAATGCATCTGTAGACCTCAATCACCATAATCCCAAGAGTACAACGTACAAGCCTTAGCTCTCCACCCCATTTACCCTGGCTCTCAAGGCACATTGAAACCCAGAGGGAGATCCCGGCCTAAAGGAAGACTAGGTCCCAGTTATATAACCCAAGGCCTGACCTACCGTAAATGAAACCCCAGAGTCACTCCAAAGTAACATCTGGTCTTTGGTATATTCCCTTCATTTTATTAATCAATATTAGGTAACGTTACCCTTGAACTGATCCAGAGCGGAGGATAGGCCACTGTACGTACGGGAATGTTAAATCGGTATGGCGCTTAATCTGCGCACTAACCGAGGGTGGATGATAGGCCACTGGGCGAGTATGCTAAGTCGTTGTGGCGCTTACCCAATCCGTGCGCTAACCCAGAGTGGATGAAGAGTAACTTGGCGGGTATATTAGACCACTATACCCACCCAACAGATGCTAAGCCCGAACAGCCATAATCATGCATTCTCAATCACAATAGAAAAAACAAAAAGAAGAAACTGAGAGAAATGGATCACCTAGACAAGGGAGGTGGCTGTTATCCTTATCGGCCGCACCCATGCATCCCGCCTGTAGGGGTTAGGGTTATTGGAGAGCTGCAGCAGTCGCTACCTGGTAATGTATCCCGGAGCAAGATTTATATAAGCCACATAAGCTTTGGCAACCTTTTTTTCCACCACTTCAACTGCAATAGTGACCCCATCTCATCATGGCTGCACAAATCCTCGCACAAATCCACAAGGCGTTTGAAACTCGTAGCTGCGAGTTTCTTACATTCCCGGGGCTTCCTCCAACCGTGTCTGACAAAATTCTCGAAAACCTTCTCGGTCAGAAAGATCCCATTGCGCTAGACTTGAGGTGAGTACAAGTGCCAGAGATAAAGTTTTCCTACTGAACTGGGTTTATTTTACGGGTTAACCTAAATTAACTGTTTGGAGACTTTATCCCTATGCCTTGTATATGCCTAGTATGAGGAAGAATATACTAACTATTAATAGAATTCACTTTATTGCCCCCGACGGGTTCCTTCGTATTGTCATGGCGAGTCGCCTGCATGAAACTGCGGTTGACTGGATGAGAACTGAGTTTGGCTTGTGGATTGGCTATGGCCTCCTTACGCCAAACACTTCTGTCTTGATATCTGATACTTTAAGTAGTATGTCTGAGTCCCTTGGCTCTGCCATATAGAACTCCCTAGTCTATACTAATAATTGAATAGTATATGATGCTTTCGTTGGTGCCTTTGCAAACTCAAAAAACAAACCGGACCTTTGCTATAGCCCCCACATTAATGGAGTTAAAACCGAGTTTCCTACTATCGTTCTGGAAGCGGGATGGAGCGAGTCGCAGGCCTAGTCAGTACGTGACTGCCAATTGTGGTTCGAAGGGTCTGCTGGGGCTGTGAAGGTCGTTCTGTTTAAATTATTCGAGCCGAATATATTCAACGAAATTAAGGCTACTCTAAACGTCTGCCGGGTTGTTGAGGGCGCAATAGTTTTGGATACATTGGCATGCTCTTCCCTGCCCTCCCATATCTTTATCTGTCTTACATCCTACTAATGAACTCCCGCATCCTGCAGAATATCTTTCCCCCCCCCCTCCGAGCCTATTCACGATCCGTGTATTACGGTAGCAGAGCTTTTTGGGAACCAATCTCCGACAGGCCTGAATCCCCAGACTCTTTTTCCATTGCCTTTGACACGACTTCGCTCTATAGTTGGACACGAGATCCGTAAACAGAGACTTATCCCGATGGGCAACTGACTACACCTAAACTCATCTCCTACCCTTTGGTCTGGTTTTTATCTGTTCGTTGCTTGTTGGTCTGGTGGGTAGCATGGGTTTCATATCTTTTCTCGATCCATTTGTACCCTAGTTGAATTGATAATCTTACTTCTATCATAACTGGTCACACTTCTACAACACCCGTGATGGGAGAATCTGCTGTCACCGTCGTCCTTATCGCGGTCTTTATTTGAGGACATATTCATCATTAGAGCTAAAGGCATCCTTAGTGGTTTCCTCAAGATCATGTACTGCCAGGCTAGGACTTTGAATGGGGATGTGGTAGCCCGCAATTACAGTAGTTCCAGGCCAGAAAAGCCTGTCTCAGTATAATAAGGATAAAATGGAACTGGGGAATGAATGGCGCATAGGGTGAGAGAGCGGGGGTGTGTATACCGCAGAATCACACCGAGTCCAACGGCTACTAAATCCACTACAGGTGCTTTCTACTTTTGGTTCCTTACTTGGAGTAGTCGAAGTGTCCTGTACCTGCACTATAATTTCGTTTGATGATCTCAGCTCTTTGTTTTGTATCGCTCATCATCTGTTACCGGACATCCTACTAATGCATAAACGGAGGAGCAAATTGGTTATCCGCCATCAGATGGGGCAGTCATTGTAGGCTAACAGATACTGAGCTTTTAGGTCAACAGTATCACCCACGACTGCGTTCTAGTGAGGAGCATGTAGGTCCACATTACCAGAGATCTATGGTTGTTCAGTGGCAGGAGGAAAGAATGGAACTGAGGAATGAATGGCCTGCAGGGTGACAGGAGAGGGCGGTGTATACCACAGAATTGCACCAAGTCCAAAGGCTGCTTGGTCCATCTTACATACTTTGGGTCTCCCACCGGCTCAATGCACATCCCCCCCCTCTTGACCTCACACCTTTCGTCCTTCTCCTCCCCCTTACCACCCGAGATCCCACCGTTAGTATAGCCAGCGACAGAAGGCCACAAACCTGAGAATCTAGTTCCGATGAATTTCCCCTCAGGCATAAGAAACGAGGAAACAAATATTAATCCCAATGACCCAGTACAGGTGCACAAACATTTTTGTCCTCTGAAACTGGGGTTATGTATACCAGCGCCGGAACTGCAAACTAACACTACCACAGGTAAAGCTTATCATTAGTTTTCATGACAGTTTGCAGGAGTGAAGATGGGTGGTAGGTGGACGGGTAGAAGTAGAGGACGGAAAAAACTCACCAGTGCGAACATGTATTTTATCGCACTACTCACTGGACACTTCGCCGCCATGCTTGTACCAACCACCCCCTATTACTACCACACTCCATAACACCGGAGTGATGTGTAGAGAAAGCTGGCCTTCACGAGAACAGCTGTATTCACCCAGAAGCCCGAGTATTTTTTTTTCGTTCCTCAAATGCTTTGGCTCTGCGACCACCACCACGTCACAGTCCAAACTGCACCTGAATTTATGTTGATTTAGGACACTCTTGTCCTGAGGCACTGGAGACTCTGACCCGAGAGTTGGTATAGTTCGCGGTGGCGATGTTGGTCAAGGCGGAGGCGGTCGTATAGGAAGTTAATGCTGGCCGAATCTGACGCCTTTCTAGGGATAGCAAATACAGGGGAAGTCAGTTGTGGTAGTTGTATTTAATGTAGTAGGATGGCGGTGCGCACCTTGGCATTTGTCGTATGAGTATATTTAACCACTACTCGTATACCCACCCTAAAAATGCTTAGCCCAGACAGGCATAATCACGCATCCTGAATCTCAATAGAAAAAACAAAACAGAAGAAACACAGAAATCGATCATCTAGATAAGGGAGGTGGCTGTTATCCTTATCGGCTGCGCCCATGCATCCCACCTGTAGGGGTTAGGGTTATTGGAGAGCTGAAGCAGGCGCTACCTGGTAACGTGTCCCGGAGCAAGATCTGTATAAACCACGTAAGCTCTGGCAACCTTTCTTTCCATCACTTCAACGGCTATAGCGACTCCCCCTCATCATGGCTGCACAAATCCTCGCACAAATCCACAAGGCATTTGAAACTCGCACCTGCGAGTTTCTTACATTCCCGGGGCTTCCTCCAACCGTGTCCGCCAAAATTCTCGAAAACCTTCTCTCAGAGAAAGATCCCATTGCCCTTGGCTTGAGGTGAGTACAAGTGCCAGAGATAAAGTTTTCCTACAGAACTGGGTTTATTTTACGGGTTAACCTAAATGAACTGTTCGGATACTTTATCCCTATACCTTGTATATGCCCAGTACGAGGAAGAGTATATTTAACTATTAATAGAATTCACTTTATTGCTCCCGACGGGTACCTTCGGATTGTCATGGCGAGTCGCCTGCATGAAACTGCGGTCGACTGGTTGAGAATTGAGTTTGGCTTGTGGATTGGCTACGGCCTCCTTACGCCAAACACTTCTGTCTTGATATCTGATACCTTAAGTAGTATGTTCCTTTGCTCTGCCATATAGAACTTCCTAGTCTATACTAATAATTGAATAGTATATGATACCTTTGTTGGTACCTTTGCAAACTCGAAGAAGACACCGGACCTTTGTTATAGCCCCCGCGTTAATGGAGTCAAAACCGAGTTTCCAACTGTCGTCCTGGAAGCGGGATGGAGCGAGTCGCAGGCCCAGTTAGAATGTGACTGCCAATTGTGGTTCGAAGGGTCTGCTGGGGCTGTGAAGGTCGTTCTGTTGTTCAAATTATTCGAGCCGAATATGTTCAACGAAGTTAAGGCTACTCTAAACGTCTGCCGGGTTGTGGAGGGCGCAATAGTTTTGGATACATTGGCATGCTCTTCCCTGCCCTCCCATATCTTTATCTCTCTTACATCCTACTAATTAACCCCCGCATCCTGCAGAATATCTTCCCCCCGCCCTCCGAGTCCATTCATGATCCGTATATCACGGTGGAAGAGCTTTTTGGGGACCAATCTCCCCCTGGCCTGAATCCCCAGACTCTTTTTCCCTTGTCTTTGGCACGACTTCGCTTTATAGTTGAACATGAGCTCCGTAACCAGAGACTAGTTCCTATGGCCGGCTGAGAACACCTAAACTCATATCCTACCCTTTGGCCTTGTTTTTATCTCTTTATTGTTTGTTGGTCTAGTAGATAGAATGGGTTTCATCTCCTTTCTTGATCCCTTTGTATCCCAGTTGCTGTCGCATTCCCCTTCCCCCTGCCTTTCTCCCCTTCTGCTAGCGGCGCTTAGCTTCTGCTCCTTTACCGGATACGGTATTTGACTTTATTACCACTCCCTTTCTCATGTTTGGTCAGAAATTGGTAATTACTCGCATGGGTAAGTAGGAAAAGATACGATCCCCCAGCATCCAACGAGGACGGAGCAAACCTGGGAAGAATAGAAAGAAAAAAGAGAAGAAAAAAAAGAACCGGGATTCTTCCCTCCTTATCTTCATCAATATCTAATCGAATTCTAATCCAGCCTAACCCAGCTAGGCAGGCCCAAAACCTCTGCCTCCAATACCTCTGCCCTCCCTAAGGACGCTAGTGCTTGCCAGAGCGGTGTGTGGGAAATCCCTGCTTGCTGGAATCGCAATGGGATCATGCGCGCGAGCGGTGAGGTATTTGAGGAGGCGGATATTCAACCGCTTGAGCCGTTCGATAGTATACCCGCCCGTCTCAGCGACAAGGCAGTAGCGCAGGTTCGCCAAGAGCATCGGGTCGCAAATTTTTATGATTCGTAGAGGGGGCAGAGCAAAGAAAGGAAAGGAGGAGCAGGGTGGGAGAAGATGTAAAGGTGAGGTTATACCTTTTATTTTGCTTATACGATTTTGAGCGTGATAAGCTATTTTCATCACGGATAGCGGTGGTGGGAGGTACAGTACACTTCCAGGTTTACATGGGTATCGCTAGTGGGTGCCCATACGGGCTTTTGCTCAGCTAGCACTACTGTACTCGAGTACAATAGTGATTACGATTTCCTCCCGCCGGTCTGTGGTGGCTACCGAGGCTAGGGTTTTGTGTGTGAAAGATGTTATCCGTATGGGCTGCCGGAACTATACATTCATAGCCCATATCTACTGAAAAGCTAGAGCACTGTGGCGGACCACTACAAAAAAAATCGAAGCAAGCACTACACAAGCTTTTGTATAAAGAAAATAACAGATGCTACAGGATCATCAATCCTCGATCTCCATCTCCTCGCCCTGTCCGCCAGCATTCCAATCCTCACCCCTTAGCCCATCCAATTTAAACGCTTCAGTCGACTCTTTAACAATCTCTTTTCGATCATCAATCATTATGGCAGCGGTGGCTGGCTTAACACCTTGGTAGTTGTCGGGATCAATCCAACCTTGACTCCTTCCATCCCTCCAATCCATTATGACGACCTTTGCCGCCCCTTCGATGTCGGGGATACCTCCTTTACCTAGTCGCCCACACTCTCGTGCGACCTACATTAGGAGGTCTATTGTGAGATCAGTGGCGGTAGTATCGACGATGGGAGGGAGGTTGTAAAAGTGGAGGAGTTTGTCAAATAGCGTGTGAGATGTAGATAGCGGGCGGATGAGAAGGGAAACTGCAGGTACCGGGTCGAGGATTTGCTTTGGTTGGAGGGCACTTAGGAGGATGAGATGTGCCTGGTTGTCCTTTGAGCCACCATTTTGAGCCTTTTGTCTAGCTTGACTTCTAGTAAGCTTGTGGTTACGGCGCCTTCAGCGCCTGTCGGACAGGCGGTCCATAAGCCACCCAGACGGCCGGTAAGGGTGTTGATAACTGATAATTTCTCAACATTCGGGTATCCAATTACACCCACTGGTACCAACCGGTTGAGCTGTTTGGCATGCGCAAATGATTTCAGAGTCTCCAGAAGAGTAGCTAAGGTGCCCTATACCATCAAGGATTTATGATCAAATGTCTGGGCATTCGCAGCAGACCTGCTAGCGCTTAGTAGCAGCGTTAGGAAGTCTCTGCGGAGATAATCCAACCACCCATTCAGGCGTCCCTTGCACGAGATAGATCTTGTTCAGGATAAGGATTAGTCGTTTCTCGCTGCCATCAGCCCCCATTATCTGTCTTTCCACGTCGCGGGAACGGGTGCCTTCGGGGTCTCGAGCATCTAGGACGTAGAGAGTTATGCCGGCAGCATCGACCACTTGCTTGAATATCTTGTCAAGCGATTTTCATGAGGTATGTTTGCCGGTGCTCTTGGATTCGAGATCTGGAATGCCGGTTTCTGAATCTGAATCGCCATTGGACTCGCCGCCGAAGCCACCATGTTCGGCTTCATATCCTGAGGCCCTTGCGGAACCTCCAGTGTATGATTATTTAGCAATTTGTTTAAAAAGAGAAATGAGTACTTGTCACACATGACGGAACATACCCTAGAATTAGCGTCATTTTTATCCATAGCATCGCTATATAACTCACTGGAACTCTCATAACCTCCTCCCTGGTCCTGCCTAGCATCCTCCCTGCCCTCTGCTCTACCCACTAACTCCTCATTTCTCTGCTTTGCAAGTTCTCTTCGCAATTGCTCCTGTTCCTTAAATAGTTTTCCCTCTTCAATCTTAGAATAGACGATCTTATTTGGAAAACAACCTGGAATATTGAGTTTGTCCTTCATCTTTTTTTTTGGTGGAGTTCTGGATGCTTTTTGGCCTCCTTTCGTTCCCTGTGGGCCATTTTTTTAGAGTGCTTCTCGATTTTGTGGTGGAGAGGAACAGGAATCCGCTTGGACTTCTTTCCTAGAAACTCTTACCGTAGGCAATAGTCGTATATCTGGATATGCAAAAACCTAATATTGTGAAATTTTTTAGAGATAGGGATGGGTTGCCTGCCTGGCGTGTAAAGTGGTTTAAGATATCAATCTCGCCCGACAAATGCCAAGACCTGCATGTTTTGGGTAGGTTGTTGTGCCAAGAATCCAGCATCCATCCATCCACCCCCCCCCCCGTCGCACACCCGCCCATCTCCATTAGATCCTACCCGTTAAACAACTACCACAACCGACATCGCACCTGCCTATCCCCATTCTCACTCCTCCGGGTACGATAAACACAACTACCACACTCCCCCTTGGTATTTGCTATCCCTAGAAAGGCTTGGGTTTAGCTAGAATTAATGGCCTATACGTCTGCCTCCGCCTCGCCCAATGTCGCCACCGCGATCCACTCCAACGCTCGGGTCAGAGTCCCCGGGGCCTCGCGACAAGGAGAGCCAGGAATCAGCACAAGCGACAGCGGTGGTGGAGCTAATGCAGGAGGCCAATAACTCCCGACAGGTGTACGAACAGTTTAAGAAAGTGTTTGACTGACACATGGTTGTTGCTGAGCCAAAGGGAACGAAATAATACTCGGGCATCATGGTGAATACGGCACATCACTCAGGCATTATGGAGCGTGGTGATAATAGGGGTGGTTATAGCGCATGTCGGTAAAGGGTCCAGCGAGTAGTGCGATACAATACATGTTCGCAATGGTGAGCTTTTCCGTCCTCTGTTTGTATCCGTCCACCCATCTACACTCCTGCAGACTGTCGTGAAAGCCGATGATGACGTTTACCTGTGGTAGTGTTGGTTTGCAGTTCTGGCGCTAGTATACCTGTCCCCCGTTTTTTAGGACAAAAATGTTTGCACACCCGTACTGGGTTATTGGGGCTAACACTATATTCTCGGTGTACTAATAGTGGGATCTCTGATGGAGAGGGGAAAGAGAAGAAAGAAAAGTGTAAGATCAAGAAGGCGGGTGGATGTGCCTTGCTTCCTGCTGGAATTGGTGAGGACCCCAAAGCATGAAGATGAATCAAGCAGCCGTCGGACTCGGTGTGATTCTGTGGTAAACCCCCTCACCCTGCACACCATTCATTCCTCAGTTCCATTTTTTCCTCATTAACTTGATGCAGGATTTTCTGGCTTGGAACTACTGGGGTTGCGGGCTATGCCACCTGGTATTTCCGCCAAGACAGCGTCTCCCCATTCGAAGACCTAGCCCGGCAGGACATGACATTGAGGAAACCACCAAGAATGCCTTTTGTTCTAACGACGAATTGCCCTCATTAATAGAAACCTGGATGAGGACGACGGTGACAACAGACCCTCCTCCCATCACGGACGTAGTGGAAGTGTGACAGCGACAATACTAGTTACGATGCTCACCCCGATAACCCTATCCCTTGGGGCGGCGAAGGAAGCGCGTAAAACGGAATCGGAGGACACGGACCAGTGGGAATGGGCGAGAATAGAAGAACCCCCTCGGGGTTAAGCTTGCCCATCGCTCCGGATGAGGATTATAGCTACAGGGGAGCGGCAGTGTTTTCTGTGTTTTCCTTTTGTCTTCCGGCATCTTCTTCCATTTTCTTCCATTTCCTTTCCTGGCTAGGTTTTCCTATTGGCTCTGGTGCGGATAGGATGGGTTATCACCTTTTACGTTTTATATATCCTTTTGCGGCATGGAACAATGGAAAATGGCTTTTCAACATGTATAGCATTGAGTACAAACGGGGGATTTCTTGCATTGGGTTGGCGGCCGATCTGAACAGGGGATTTGATCAAATGAAGGAAGCATGGGGAGGAGGAGGAAGTTGTTGATATATAGCTATTAGCTTCCTAATCGGGGCTTTGTAGGGCCATTCCATATCACTGGCTTTTTGCAGACGTCCCATATCACGGGTCACTGATGCCCACACCAACATCCATGCGTGCCCCAACCACCGCGGTACACCGACCGATGCAGATTTCGTTCAAGCAGATGCCGTTGGCTTGTCGCGATCGTCACCGCGCATCCCGTACCCCCACCATAATAGCCGTGTCCGCTCTCGTCCTCGTCGTCCCGATTGGGACGTGGCTGTGGTCTATTCTATAGCTTCATTCAACTCTATGCTGGTGGGGGAACACGTCATTACATACACCATGATGGTAGTTTGTACTTTCCTAATTAAATAACATTTTAAACCTTTGAGTGTGTATCTGTAAAATATACAAGTTTCGGGGTAGTACCGTATTATGCAATAAGAGATATCACACGACCACCAATGCCTTCGCTTAACCACCCCACCTAGGTTAACAGTCGAATCGTAACCATTTACCTTTGACCAACCTCCCAATCATTAGATAGGGCTGATTGCAGGAAATGCAGCAACCTACCGTGATACCACGCTGCGCCAGACTACCGGTATGGAAGTATTTTACAAGGAAGTCTCGATAAATATCAAGCGTGGTGCCTGTATTGACCTCAGGCATGGCTATTCTATAAGAATCAAGTTAGGTGATATGCAGGCTTTTCCGCTGGTTCATTCGGAAGACTTGACGGCCTGCTGGCCTGATTGCAGGCACTCTACTCGAGGGGCTCACGGCAGTGCCAAATATATAGAATCAGTGCTTAGGGGAGAGTCCCTGCGAGCACCACTCTGAGGCGTGGTGAAACTCATAAGGGAAGTGTGACTGACCTCCGGGCGAGCGCCTGGCACCACTATGAGATATGGTCAATATCGATACAGGGTGTGACGAACTGGTGGAAAAGGCCTTGACTTGTTCGGAATTCAGGCAACAGATTCGGGCCTCTGATCACGCGCTATAGCCCAAGGTCTGCCACCACCGGCGCCTCCTAAGACCTCGGGTGGGCCGCCCTCCTTATTACCCTAGACCAGATACTCGAACCCTGAATCCTCCAGACCGAGTGACCTTCTGTGATGCCATGAGGTATCTATTGAAAATCACCGGGGAGCATTCCATCTCCCTCCAATCGCGGTCAATGGATAAATATCTTTTCTTACCTATTTCTATTTGTCGCACCTTTGTCCGTTTATTTTTTCTCCATTTGTCATTGATTTCTGATCAGTTAAGGGAATGGTTATACCTTGCATAAAACACTCTATATGGGTGGAACCATGCGATATCAGAAATAGTTGCATACAGCAAGGGAGCAGGAAGGTTGATATCGGGTATGAGCCTAGTCTTGTGAATGTTTATCGAATCGTTCTCTTTCTGGGAGCCATGCGTGAGGGGCTTTGATTTCTTGTCGTTACTGATATCTCGAATACTGCTTTCGTTGCTGCTATCTGCCACACCCCTTTTCTTCCACGCAATCCTATCCCCTCTTTATACTGCTGATTACCTTCTAACCCCCACCTCTTGCTCCTTCTCCGGGCTTCTCTTGAGTTCCTTTTACCCCTCCTCAATCGACCAATCTCATTCCTCCTTCTGACCACATGCTCCAAACCCCGCTCCGGCTAAACATCTTATATTGTACAGGGATACCAAAAAACCCTCCAGAACATTCCATCCCTCATACAAATCGAACACTCATAAGCCCTGAAAAATAGGAAACCAATACAAGACCACCTCCGGAAGCTTCTGGCATACCCGGGATGAATTAATGTGGCTTGGGCTATCAAGAACGAGTGCAGTGCCGGTGATTTTCAATACTTAGGTACCGGAACTCCGGAGTTCACTGGAACCTACCGGAGGGATTCCCGGAGGACCCCTAGGTGTTTGGCATTTCCGTCATTTTTTTTCTTTCTCACAGAGGCTGGAACACTGTACCCAGAGGATGGATGATTTGTCTACATAAAGTCCTTCTTTGTTCCGTAGATAAAAGAGACAAGCAACAGAGATACAGTACACTCGTATCTAATACTACATATCCCATATTCTTCTTCTTCCACTTCTGCCTTCAGTCTTCACACCCACCATCACTTTTACGATAGTATCGACCTCCGGTAACCCCCTCCGCTAGTAGCCAAACTCCCGCAACAGCTGGGCGATGGGCCCTACCCTGGCCGCAAGCTCTGTTAGTATGCTCCGTCCCCCGTCGGCAGCCTGAGGAGTTTGCCGCGGGGTCATTCCAGGTTTAAGGGGGACGGGCAGGAAGCCATTGATGACCTTCGTGGTGATGTTGGAATGGATTGTGCATCCTCATGTTCTTCTAGCATTCGCACCGTGGGTCTAAGCAAATATGCGGCTGAGTATGGGCTCAAGAATCCTGGTTCAGTGGGGGGAATACCTCGTCAGTCTATGAAACCTAATTATCGGGATATGGACGTAACCAAGACTAATAGCCCCAATAGCAGCTCAAGCAGTGCACCTCCCTACGCCACAGCTGGCAGCGGGTGGTACCATTGTAGGTGAAACAGAGGACCTCTTGGCACTTCTGCTCCTAGCCTGCAATAATAGCCCCGTTTGATGGCAGTCAGCCACCTTGCTCCACTGTTTCCGCATTAGTGGGGTAGGTGGCGGGACACGTTCAACGTCTTGGACAACGAATTACGGCGCATATACGAGCTCCGATACGACGATTGAACGGTAGCGGTTGGATATAGGATACGGCGATCGCGGAATAAGACCTTTAGGTGAGGAAGGAGGTCATGTGTTTCCCACTTGGCTAACTAACGGAAAGGACAGGAGTATATAAGAAACCAAATATCACTCCCCAGTCCTTCCACCAGTCAATCACTACACATATCCATCCTCCTCCAGACTTCTCCTTCACCCTTCCGTACTCCCAAGCTAACAAAGGAAAGACCCTCTCAAGGAGCCCCCTTTTGCTTTTCTTTCCCGTCCATTTTTCTAATAATAATACCAATTGATCTTCTCTTCCATGATAGTTTAACCCAGCGAGTGATAGAATATGATGCGCTTAGTCAGCCATGTTGCAAACCTGGCATCTGCCAAGACGCCAAGGATTAGCAATCAATCCCCAGTTAAAGTGGAGCGGTATTCTCCGCACTTTTCTCCGAAGAAGCAAACATTCTCCACCCCACCATACCAGCAGACACCGCGAATAAGGTTTCTTTTTTTATCAAATTCCACACGCCGACAATCGTCCTGTCGGCTCCTATACCTACCACATTAACGCCTGCATCTGCAGGGTCCCCACCCCGAGGCCCTCATCCAAGAGGAACAGACTGGAAAAAAGCTTGGTTTGTTTACTGAGGCTCTCCCTGAATCGAAGCCCGAACTACGTAGGTCCCTTTAATAGCATACTTGTACATCCATTTTTGTCGATTACTAACTTACTAAATTTATAAAAAACGAACAGTAGAGATGTTTAGGCTCTTAGTTCTCGCTAAATTCATACCAAAGCCGCTTAATGCCTACCGTAGGTACCTACAGTGTCGCCCGGCGGCAGCTAAAGAAATTCCCCCTACTAGACCGGTGAGCTTGAACTCTTAATGGCCTGTAAATAACTCTAACGGTGATACTGTTTTGCAGAGTCAGCCGCCAGTGGATCCCGGGCGCAGGACCTTGTACTCGCATCTTTCACACACACAGACAGAGAAACGATTGGGTTTCCTTCTAACAACATTCGACCGGCATGCTATTGGAGTTACGCAGATGCTAGCCACTGCTGACCAGGAAGCCAAAATCCAAGGCCTCACGGAAGAAGAAGTCGAAGAAGTAAAAGAGAAAGTGTATGAACGGATTGTGGAGTGTTTAGAAGGAGAGGGCTATCCAAGCACTATGAATGAGCACTATAAAGAAGCCAACGTTAACGACCTCGTGTTCACAATGCTTATCCCGGTAATTGCTATGTATAAAAGAAAAACTGGACGAAATCTATGCTTGTGGAGGGAAAAAGGAATCAAAGTCAATGACGGAGAACCGAGTGGAAATCAAGAGTTTGTGACGATCAATACCGTCGGCATTGACAATTGGGAATTGGTGTTGGTGGTCGAGGCAAAAAAGTCATCCCTACGCGAAGCGAAGAAACTATGTCTTCTCGCGATGAAGGACATGGGGGAAATGAATGGGGGCGGCGTGGTATATGGCTTCGTAACGACTGGTGAGGAGTGGCAGATGCTACGATTCGATGGTACTGTGTTTACACAGACTGATAGTTTTTTTGCATTATTCCGCGGGATGGCGCAGGACAAGGAAAACTGGATGCAGGGATGGTCAATTGTCGTGGACTGCATCCATGCCACCTTGAGAAGCGGAGGATTCGTTGTTAAATAATTGAATTCTTCGCTTCTCAAGGTGGCTAGACCCCACGAGGGTAACATTTCCCCTATTCACAAACCACGAAAACACCCCCCGCCCCAAGACCGTGTCGCTAATTTTCTCATTAGTATCACTTAATCTAACTAAGTAGCAGGATGAAAATCTATAGTAAAGAGAGGGTAACCGGCCTGTCGGGTTGCTCGCAGGGGTGGACGAAATTGGTGCTCATTGTGGATTTTTGTATTTGGGAGATGGGTATGAGAGGCTGGTTGGGCATGTTACCGCGAGGATTGAAGGGTGGGTGGGGGACGAAGCTGCTAGGGGGTGACTTCGAGAAGGGGAGGGGGAGGTAATGCGGAAAGTGGTTCCGCGAGTGGTTGTTGGGGAGCTGTGTGGGTGAGGTGGTGTTGGAGGAGAGGAGGAACGGAGGGAGTGATACTGTGAAATTTTTGATGTTATCCCTATTTTGTACTAGCTGCTGGAAATTTTGATACTTTGAAAGACATCTGCAATGGGGGGTGGAATATTGAATAGATACAATACTACTTTTCACAACTAGTAACGGCCCGCTTACCTAACAGTTCCGTTACGGAAATTTGTATGGTGGGCTGGAACGGTACCGTCAGCTCAGGGTTGTGTTGCAACTGATGGTGCCAAACGTGTTTACCTAATTTTCAACCGTCAAGAATTTTGGGTGCTTGACGGTCCAAATGAAAAGGTGCTCCAGAGGTGTGGTAGCAACACTGTCAGCCTCAAAAATTGATGCATTGTCACTGTGCCTCTGGCTAGTTATACCCACAATAGCCATACCACCACTGCCAATCCTCTGCTTTCTTTGCTCCGGTGGTTCTAGGATAAATATATCAGAATTGAAACCATTGTCGACTATCATTAAGGTTTTTGTTTAGCATGGTACTATGAGAGATTTGGGCTATGATGTCAAAACAACTAAAAAAGAGCTACATGAATAGGTGGAAGGACTCTTGAAGAGTCATTACAGGTGGTATGTGGGGGATATAGGCTAGGTCCAATATTTTACTCGGTCGGCAGTGCTTGAAAGGGGGGGAGGAGTTGGCAATTGTGAGTTCAAAAGCCCTCATATTGTATTTTGTAAATTTTTTGATGCACTCTCTGCCGGTACTCGTGCCAAGGTTGCAGTTAGGGCACTGCAACCCCCAAAAATTCGCTGGCTCAGTTTTTGGCGGTACTCGTGCCAAGGTTGTGGCTGCGCCACAACCCAAGTCTGCTCGCTCGCTCGCAACTGTGGGCACTCTCAAGAGAGTGCCCACGGTTGCGAGCGAGCGAGCAGACGTGGGTTGTGGCCCAGCCACAACCTTGGCACGAGTACTCATCCTGAGTGCCCGACAGCTCAACATCACTTTGTAGCTCAACATCACTTTTGTGGCTTTGCATCATTTTTGTGGCTCAACACCACTTCTGTGGCTCAATCTCACCTTTGTGGCTCAATCTCACCTGTAATTCTATGTGTTCCATACTTGTAATTTTAAGTATTGTATTTTAATAGTTTAGTATAATGTATCTATAATAAATACAAGATTACTTTCTACATGTTTACAGAAACTCTCTATCCACAAGACCACAATTTTTCCACTATACACAAATCCCAAACTTCACAATATGCCACCTGCATCCTCTTTTACCTTACCCAGAAAAAAAAAAAAGAGATGGAGGTTAAAGAGGCAGAGCAACAACTGCTACAAGCTCAAAATGCTCAAAAACAAGTTGAAAAGACAGAATGAAAACTACTACTAGATGAAATAAAGGCATGTGTCAAACAAAGATACC